GAGAGAGAGAGAGAGAGAGAGAGAGAGAGAGAGAGAGAGAGAGAGAGAGAGAGAGATTGAAGGAGTGGTGGGCAGGAGGATGCCAGAGATGGCAAACGAGGAGAACTCGGAGGAATGGTGGGGGAGGAGGAGTTGGAGATGGGCAAGCTTACCCGGGCGAAGCGGCAGAACGCAGCGTGACACTTTGAACCAAAAGGGCATTCCGCTCTACCCGCATCTTTTAGGGGCATTTTGGCATATATCTGAACTTCTAGGGGTATTTCGCAAATCATCCCTTTTTAAAATTTGATGCTCAATACTCACAAGGCACAGGTAGGGGTAATGGGTGAAAGCATATACCCCTACCTATCCTTGCATGCGCCTCCAGTCTATTGGTGTGGAGCATCACCTGCTGGAAACCGGGTCCAGCATCCCATAGATACATCGAATATTGAAAACAGATAAAGAAAGAGCCAGAGAAGAGCCAGAGTTGCCTCTTCAGTCCCCTAGGAACCGCCACATATGTCTTTCAGCACTACTGTCTTCACCCGAATAGAACGCCCGGTAATTATCGCTGCATCTGGACCGAAAGTTGTGCCAAATACAGCTATAATGACCGGGCGTTCTATTCGGGTGAAGACGGTAGCTACCTCTGCCCTTCATGTTGAGCTTTCTTGAATCTGTTAATACTCTCCCAAACCAAACCATTGCATCTCTACAAGAGCAACCTCAGAAGGAGGAAATGGATCTCTGAAGAAGATTGGGTCCCTGAGGGTAGTCCCTGATCGGAGTATGAACCAGTCCTTTAAACCAGCAGTACTTGGCCCAGCTATTGATGCCGAGCCTGAATATGCCCTGCGCGCCAAGTTTTGCCGAGCGGCCGCCGCGCCGTTTCGACTTTCTTTTGGCTGGCGCCTCCACCCATTGTGGTCCGGTAGGCCGAAGCCCATCAGTCGCGGCACGTTAACGGCAAACGCCCGCGGCCGATGTATGGGCCAAGTACTGGTGGTTTAAGTTGAGCTCGAAGTTCCCCTAGTGAGGGGTTCCTCCATCCCTTCCTCTCCTTGCCATGACACCTCCCCCAGGAACTCTTCCCCCCACCTCCCCCCACCTCCCCCCTGCCAGTCCAGGAGAAATTTCCGAATTGCCCGTTGGATGTCTTTTTCTCTTGTTGGAAAATGCGTGATTTGGTTTTGACGCAATTCTCCTGGACTTATGGTTTGATGCTATTAGCCTATATGGTTTAATTCTTCCTGGATTCATTGGGAACATTGGGTTAATGTTATTAGCTTATTATGGTTTAATGGTTTAATTCTTCCTGGATTTCTCCCTTGCTCAATTCATTCGCTCCCTCCCTCGTACTCCCTCAATCCATCACCGTGCGGGTCCGCTCGTGCACCAAACGTGCGGAATTTTGAATTTTCCACACGGCGTCCGCTTGCATATATGATAACGATTGATGGTTTTGTAAAGCAAAAGAAAAAAAAAAAAGAGAAGAAAAAGCAAAACAAAAAAAGAAAAACTAAACCAATAGCCCATCACAACTCATCAGAGATTCAATAGGCACCTGTCATGTCGGCCGCCTTGAGATTACGGCCTTCTATGATTTCTAACAGAAGAGAAGCAACCGGCTTCGCATTTGCGCTTGTCTTCACCCGTGACAACTGCGCTAGCATCGTCTCCTGTGACACCTTGAAATCTCCTGCAAAAGACAGAAAATTCATTTCGAAAATTAAAAAAAATAAAAAAATAAAAAATAAAATCTGGAAAACATGCAGCTCCACGTTCTCATTCCTTCCTTTTTTTTTAATTATTATTATATTAATTCAAAGTGGAATAGAGTCAATAGACTCAAATAGACCCTTTTTCTCTTCTTCTCCTTTTTTTTTTTTTTTTTTTTTTTCCCTTTCTTTCCAGTGGATAGACCCTGATCTTGCTGAATACAGCAGTTGTGTGTCCTTGTGGATCTTGCAGAATACAGCAGTTGTGTGTCCTTGTGTAATCATTGTTGATATGGCTCAGCTTACTTCTCATTTAAATACACCTTTGGTTGGCCATTCCTGATCCTCATCTCTCCGGACCCTTCTGTCTCTTTTTCTTCCTGCCCCATTTTTATAGATCATTCACCGACGAAAGCTACGGAGCAGCGCGGTACCTTCTCCTATGATGTCGCAGAGTACGTGAGGAGGTGCGCTGCCTGTCGAAGGACGAAAACTACGGTGCAGGGGCGGTACCATCTCCTAAAACCACTCACAATTCCACAAAGACGAAGTACGTCCATCTGACCAGACGAGATGGACATACTTCGTCTGACGCTTCATCTGGAAACCTCCTTCGTTAAGGTGACTCCATGCATGACAGCAGGCCAATCCTGTTTTTTTTTTTTTTTTTTTTTTTTTTTGTGGGGTGGGGGGGGGGGGGGGGGAGGAAACAAAGCTCCGATGTATTCGTGGGAAGCAGTACGCGCCGGGAACCGGGCCCAGCGTCCCTTTTGAAAGATTTTTTGAATCCAGAAAAGAGCTGGGGCCATTAACAGGAGGTCAATCCTTCTTCTCCGATGGGGACGCAATCAATGCCTTTTGCGCTGATACAAATAGTTAACGGTGGTTGAAACAATTTGCATGGATATGCGATGACCTGACCAAACAGGGACTGAGAGACACAGCTGATTTCTGGGTTTTGCCCATGGACTGAATGCCTGCTGAGTTTCCCGCTTGCTACTAAGTTCTCCAAGTCTGTGTGTGTGCACGCTTGCTACTAAGTTCTCTAAAATTGGAACGATACAGAGAAGATTAGCATGGCCCCTGCGCAAGGATGACACGCATAAATCGAGAAGTGGTCCAAATTTTTGAAAAAAAAAAAAAAGGTTTTGTCGTCACAATCCGTTGAGATTCCGCCCTTTGTTCCGAGGGTTTCTTTTCCGAAGATTCTGATGTTCTTACTTCTAAAATAGGTTTGACATTTTCAGTCGCGTCAACAAAATGCTGTGATTAAATAGGTTTGACATTTTCAGTCGCGTCAACAAAATGCTGTGATTACATGGATAGGGCCACTAGCATGGTAACCGTCCGGACATCCGGACCAGTTCCAGACAGTCCGGTGTCCGGTGTCTGGTCCTGATGTCCGGATGGAGGCCCCTGGGGAGAAAAAAAAAAAAAAAAGGGGGGCGGACCAGGACGTTTATCGGGTCCTGGCCGCCCCTCCAAAAATAACGGGGTGATTTTTCAGTGTCATTTCACCCCACCGGACATGGCCTAGAGGTCCGGACACAAGACACTGCAGGTTTCTGGGGTGGCGGGTTTCACACAGGCCCGAGCAATTTCAAGGCGCCCGCCGCTGCTGCCCGTTGGAGAGAGAGAGAGAGA